TCCAAAAACCAAATGTTACTCCATTCTCTTCAAGTAGTTATATTTCACTTATTAATCTATGATATAACAAAGGGATTTCGAGGTTATTTTCTAAATGTGACCAAAATTATAAATTTAATTTAATTCTTTTCTTCTTTGAATTTGATATTTTAAGAAACAAGTAAATTAATCTTTTCCACACTAGTCTTTTCTTCCCATGTCTCAAAAAATATATAAATATATCTCAAAGTAACATCTATCAAAATTAAAAAGATTCACTAGAAAAGATAAAACTTTTAGCAAAGATTAAATGTAATATAATATATCCACCTTTGTTCCTAAATTGCTACATCAATGCATTTTGTTTTTATTGGCTATAAACATTGCAAGTAAATTATTTTTAAATTTATTATTATTTTAACAATAGACATTAGTCAACAATAAGTCAATTTATATAAATAATTATGAGTAATTTTTTATAAAGTAATTAATAATTATACCCTAAGATATGTTTACTAATATTTCTATCTCTCTTTTCCACAAAAATGAACTATATCCATTTGAAGTTTTAAATTCAAGAAAAAGTGTATGATTAAAAAATACAAATAAATTAGAAAAAAGTTACTCATATTTGAAAACAATTTTTTTTTATTCCAAGTCTCCACATGCTTTTTTTGTTATTTTTTGTATTTAAAATTAATTATTAGCTTCAAGTATTGTTCAAATTTCTTTGCAATCAAACTGCTTCAAAAAATCATTAATGGCTAGATTCAAGTGTTTTAGGTTTTCCTTCATACTTTTATACCCTATTAATCAATGTGTTATGTTATTTTTTTTCTCTTTAGGATTGGTTTACATTTGAGATATGTAAACTTTTTAATTGATGATTGCTATTTTAAACGATAGTATGTGTTGCTGACACATTTAATCAATACTTTAATTGCTCAATTTATTCTTTACATAGCACATTATAAGAAAAAAGTATCATTATGTTTCTTGAAGAACAATGTCATGATAAATACAACCTTATATAGAGAAATTAATAAATATCCTTAAATACTCTCAAGTTCAAATATATAATAGTTAATTTGGTGAATTGAATAATGCAACTAAGTAATGTTAACCAAAATGATGAATTAAGTGACATTATTGTAATGAATAATTGTTTAATATTCTTATAGTTGATTGAATTTATTCATGATAATTTAAATGCTTTCATTCATGTTCTTTAAAAATAAGGAAAATTCATGATTCAACTTTATTAAAAAAATATATAGAATATACCTTGAAAAAAGACAATTGATGTGAAATACAATAATTCCAATAAATTAATAGGAAAGGAAGATTAAAAATTTTCTAGCTTTCTGTGTATTGTAGCTAAAACCCTATAATTATCTCCTCTAAATATAAATGATTCAAGAGTTTTTGATAAAGATGAAGTTGGAACAGTTTATGGGAGTATTAAATAATTATTTTAACAAGTATTAATTTAATTTTAGATTCATTTTTATCATATATGATATGAGTTTATAGATATTTGTTGTATGTTTGTAAAAGTTTTTAATCCTAGTACATGGTAAAGAATTTTTGAAAAGATTACAAATATGATTTGAAGAGTTTATATATAACTAAGTATAAAACTAAAGATAACTTATTGAAAGAAATCAACAAATTGGTCCTATCTCTAATTGAGTTTCTAATAAAGCAAAGATAAATAGCTTTTTTATGAAATGTTTACATAGTTTGCTTATAAGTAAATTATACTAAAATAATTTTGCATTGTAATAACAAGATTTGTAGGCAAGCAAATCAAGACATTGAGTAAAGTAAAACATGTCTCACACACCACTAAGTACATGAATTAACAAGTAAGGGGTTATTCCAATTTAACTATTACTCTTGAGTTCGAGATCTACTAATTACAATTGTATTAAATAATTGGAGAGAGCTTTGCTACCCATATTGGTCATACCCAACTTGAATAAGATTACTTCTTATGATATCTATGGTCTAGAAAAAAAAATGTTTGCAAAAAGATTAAAATTTTGATGAATGAAAAGTATCCTTAAAAATTACAAAATATCATTCATAGATGATATTTATATTATTTTTTAAATGATATGATTATACTATGAATTGTAATGGTTATTACACTTAAGAAATTATGCAAGAAATTTGAACAATGGTGACATCATCTAATGACCAAACTGCTAGATGTATTATTTGAAAAAGAGATATGTATTCTTAAGTGTTGGAAAATGAAAGAAGTGACTATATCCTTCTCTAGTATGGGATTGTATATCTTTCTTATAGTTGCGGACAATACATCTAATGAAGTTATCCAAAGATTAGAACAAGGGATAAAAGGAGCTAAAGGAAAAATATGATGTTGAAGTGGATTTGATGCAACAAAATCAAGACAAATTACTATTAGAATTATCTTTCATGAAACAAGTTATAGGTAATATTTTTATTATTAAGTAACACGAGACTTAAAATCATAGCATAAGTACAATTTCAGTCACATAATGTTAATAAAGTATGCAGTTTCTTATGGTACTAAATTTGTAATTTCATATTTTAATATAGGGCTTATTCTTCTTGTCATTTGCTTAATTTCTTTCTTCCTTTAACTAAGTTTTGACATTGAATCTTTATATTTTACATGTATTTACTTACTATAAATATAAGATTATAGTTATCAAATTCCAATCTTTTGTGATGTGTATGTTATGTGTGACAACTCTTTGAAAGTTAGGTGGTGAAAAAGGTAAAGATTTAAAAATTTTATGTAATAATTTAGTTTATTAAATACTTTAACTTGATTGACTTTAAATTCTTTTACAACTTGAATACTAAAAATTGGTATATTAAATCATATATATATATATATATATATATATATATGCGTGTGTATTTAAAAATTGATATGAATTTTTTTTTTCTTTTTCCCTTTCCTTTTGTTTAAGTGGACAACAAATTATTTTAAATTTTTTTTTCTTTTTCTTGCCTCATATATATGGTAATTATTTAGAAAAATATTATATAACCACATGTTTGAAATTGAAAAATCTTTTTGTATTGATTTTGTTTCTCACACAAAATTACTATTATTTTGATGGATGTTCATTATCTATAAAATTTGACAATTAAGAAAGTTAAATATATCATTTTTTTTAAATTACTTTTTTTTATTTAAAATTATTTTACATTGCTATTTAAATATTTTAGATATAAATATTATTGTCATTAATTTTTTTACTAATTAAATTATCATATTTAAAATATATTAATTATAACTTTTATCATCATTTATAATTATTATTAAAATAATTTTACTGGCAATAGCATATACCAGTAAATGAATAGGAAAAGATTTCAAAAATAAATTTAGTAGTAATTTAAATTGCCATTAATATTTATTACAGTAAATTAAGTTTTTTAATAATAAATTAAAATTTTATCGGTATTTTTACATTGAAGATAAGAGTTAATAATTAATTGTCAAACAATTTTTATTAACTATTTTTATTGATAATAAATATTATAATAATTAATTCTAAAAATTATTTTTAGTGGAGTGAGTAGCTAAGCCTTTCAATACATGAATAAAAAGACAATAAAAAATAGTGGTCCTAGATGCTAGTTGAAGGCTTAAACTTGAAAGTTTCTTAACCATTAAAAAGAACTTGTGTGGAGCAAATTTATAGTTTAGATACTAATTTTTTTAACTTAATTTATTTGTTGAAGCTATACATGAAAGGGAGATAAGTTGGATTCTATTTAAAAACAAATATATCAAAACTCTTTTCCAAACTATATAAATTGAAAAAATATTTAAAAAATAAGTGTCTTAAATCTGAATAAATAGATTATGGTGTTTTAACATGAGATATATCTCCTAAACACTCAATACTGGATGATGAAGGTTTACGTTTTCAAAAACTGATAGAAAGAATATGAGATTTCAAGCCTCTCTCTTTAGATTCAAGGTTAGAAGGCAAGGGTATATCTTATGTGTGTGATTGGCCATATAAGACATTGTTATACTTCCTCTAATTTTTTTTAATAATTATGGATATATCATCTAAGTTATAAGTATTAAAAAATGAATTCATATAATATAATACATATTACAAAATTAAACTAAAAATTAAATAAATCAAAATTAAAAGATAAAATAAATTTATTTTATTAGATTGGTTTGAATTTTAAATTTATTTCCTAAAATTGATTCACTTAAATCCAAACCGCACAAATGTGCACAAATATGAATTTTTTATATGAAAATAATATATGATCTGTGTTGTGTTTTATAATGACAAATTTATAAAATTACAACATTATTATTATGTTTTGAATTGTTCTTTAAATTACAGTTTTAATGTACTTATGAGATTATTAGTCTCAAATCATTTAAAATTTATTATACTTTTATTTTAGATTAAAAAATTGTAATAAATATATACAAGAAGTAAAATAAAAATTCTTTATTACTTACTAATACAACGCAGTATAGACATATTTAATACAAACTATTTCAGATTGAATCAAATTAAATTATATAATTTTAAAATTAAAAAATTGATATAATTAAATTAAGCAAAGTTTTCCTTCAAAATCGATGTTATAAAATTTACGAATATGTTATAAAAAATGGTGATTAATTAGTCCAAATTTCAACACCAGCACTTCCGTGTGCCCTTTATAATTTTATTTTTTTTATCAATTATGATATAAACAAATCAGGGTGGTGTCTTACAAAATTATTTAACTGGTAATTATTGAAAAGCAATAACAATCATTAAATATTAAAAACAATAATAATATCGTTGTCAAGTGCCAACCGGTTGTGGCAGGTGAAAGCTAATTCTCGGGTTGAGTCGTGTGGCGGCAAGGCAACATAGTCTGCATAAGTTAACTGGTAGATCCGGTTGCTTTGATCAAATTCACTCTCTATTGGGTCGTACCCTCTTCTTTAGTTTCTTCTAAGCCTCCCTCTGCTTTTGCTAGTGTTATTGTCTTAGCTTTGATTCTCTGTTCTCTGTTTTCTGTTTTGTTCTGTTTCGCGTGTAAGTTTCTCTGTTACTTATATCTCGTCTTAAAAGGTGACCTTGTTCTTCAATTTTCTTCTTTTTTATTTTTATTTTTTATTTCCCCCTTTTTTTTTTGCTGGGGGAGGGGGGTTTGTTGAATTTCTGTTTGGAAGCTGAGGAAATTCAAAGTTTGTTTTTTTATTTTTTATTTTTTTTTGAAGTGGGTTATGGTTTATGAGAAGGTGAAAAATAAAGGGAGGAGAAAATTACATAAACTAGGCTAAATGAGTATTTGTTGTTTCCATGTTTTTCAATTTTGTTCTCTCTGTCTTTCTCTTTCTCTTTTCATTTGAATTTGTTTCCTGTGGCTTCAAAGGATGTGTATGCTACTATAATATGACTTAAGGATTTTGCATGTGCTTCTTTTTTTTTTGTGATTGTCATATCCTTTCTTTGCTGATTTACACAGTATCTGATTTTTGAATTTTGATGGAAAAATCAACTTTATGTGTGTGTGTGAGAGAGAGTCATGCTGTTGCCACAAAATCTCAAACATATGAAATTCTATAAGGTATTGTATTAGGTGGATATGTGTAACATTTAGTCAGCACCAGTTAACCCCGTAGGGTGCATTTTCTTTTATTTTAGTGGGAGTCCTGTTTCTGTATGAACTAATTTTTTTATTTAACTTATTCAAGTTTAATCTATCTTTTGTCCCTATTTATTTGAAATTTTCTGATTCCTTTGTTTTCATAAAAGCTGTGCATTATTGTCTTGGTACAGGAATTAAACAATGAAGAATGCAAAGGGCAAGGGAGCATTGAAGATCTCCAAAGAAGCTCTGAAGCCTGTTGATGACCGGTTAGCTTCTATTTCATTACACTTGACTGAATTAGTTGAGGCATTTTTATTTTTCATGTAAACATGGATCCCGTTGTGCATTGGGGTGTTGACTTTCTGGTTTCTGGCCCATTTGTTTATGTCTACACATTCTATTAACATCTGATTATACATACTTGATGGTGCATCCAGCTGTTACAGGAATAGTGTAGTGATGGAACATATATCTCTATTGTTTTCAGAAAGGTTGGAAAGAGGAAGGCTTCTAGTAGGCCTGACAAGAGTAGTGCACCAAAGGCAAAGAAGGAGAAGAAGGCCAAGAAAGACCCCAACAAGCCGAAAAGGCCACCCACTGCTTTCTTTGTGTTCCTGTTTGTATCTGTCTTTGCTCTTTCCTTGATATTTCAGTAAGAAAAATTATATGATGTATTTCCTGCTTTGTTATAGTGAGGAGTTCCGAAAGACCTTTAAGGCAGAGAATCCTAGTGTGAAGGCTGTATCAGCTGTAAGTTACATGTTAAACTGGTTCTTCTTCTTTGATGATTTACTGTTTTTAATGAGCATCTAAATTATTTGCTGCACTTTTTAATTGAAGGTTGGGAAAGCTGGAGGAGAGAAATGGAAATCCATGTCTACTGCTGTAATAAGCTCTGCAACTTTTATCTATAACAACACTTTTTTTTTATCTTCTAAATTATTTTAATTTCTTCATTGTGTTTTTGCACAAATGCTGGTTCAATTTAGTTCCAGTATACCAACAATATATTTCTACCGAATGAACTTATTATATTGAAGAAGGGATTTATTCTTTTATGAATTTTGACTCTCTTTGGAATGGAAAGGAGAAAGCTCCATATGAAGCCAAGGCTGCAAAGAGGAAAGCTGAGTATGAAAAACTTATGAATGCTTATAATAAAAAGCAGGTGTGTACCCTGTGGCAATTTTTTTGTTGTGTGCGGTGCTTTGATTGTCTTTCTTATATACTTTATTTTCTATAATGTTGCCAGGGAAGCTCTGCAGATGATGAATCTGACAAGTCCAAATCTGAAGTAAATGATGAAGATGATGAAGCTAGTGGAGAGGTAGTCTTACTTCTTTCCTCTTTTTCTTTATGTTAATTAGGTTATTTAGAATGCATTCTCTTGACCTTAAATTTAGATTGTGATAAGGAGCTTGGACTAAACAAATATTATATAAAATTTCTACACATGTACTTGTATTGGTTTCTTTGGTTTCAGGATTTTAGCTCTAAAGGGTGAAAATGAGATAAAAAAAAGTTTTGTCAAGGAGTAAATGTAATGAGTTTATTATCATAGGGGCGTGGATGGTAAAGAGCATGAATTTATTACCTCTTTTAACTCTTTAAATACATACCAAAAGAAGTTTGTTTAATATGGAGTTTCCGGCATGGATTGAACCTTTTGATTAATACTGTAGCCTTTTTATAATGGAAAGTTTCCCAATAAATTGAGATGCCGTAATCCGTAGTTTAAAGGTGCATAAATGCTATTACTGCTGGGTTTTAAGTTTTTCACAGAAGGAAAGTCTGATTTTTTATTGTTTTGATGATAAGCATTTAAGCACAAAGCCCTCTCTTTTTTCTGAGGTCAGTGTTTTCCCTTTTTGTACAGGAGGACCAGCAGGAGGAGGAGGAGAACGATGACGAGGAGGAAGAGGAGGAGGACGAAGATGATGACTGAGATCAGTGTTTAAAACCTTGGTTATGATGTTTTGTTGGTGAGGGAGGCTATTATATATTCTGACTGTGCATACTAGGTTATTTTGTGTTTGTGCTGGTAGAAAATATGTCTTCTGTAGTTGGGACGATATATTGCCAGCTACTTGAGCTTCCCTCAGTCATTGTTCTTGTATTTCCCTTTGCGCATTGTAGCCTAAAAAGGGTTGCTTTAAGTAATATAAATTTCTTTTTGATCAATGCATGGCATAATTATGCTTAGCGAAAACTAACGACCATCTTATTTACAATGTACATCTATGAATGCGCCTACCATGTTCAATTTAATCCCACTGTGGTTCTCCAGTACTATAGGAACTAATGCCATTCATAAGTTGAAAGGACTAGTCGAATCGGTGGCACTGCTAATATTGATTGAATCATGGTTTTCTGTCAATTGTTTTAGCAAATTGTTCAAACACGAGCGAATATGGACCCATGGGGCTTATGAATATCATATCATAAAGCTGTAATAAGAAAAAAAAGATCTCAAAAATAAACTAAATCAAAACCTGACACCTCCCCGTAACCTTCCAGTCAAATGGCATTGAGCTCGTGTCTCTTTGAATAGAAGGGTTTGGAGGAGAAAGGGGTAACAATTTTTATTTATAAATTAAGAGTTACAATGTTCATGCACAAAAATTTGATTTGATTGAAATATGACAATTTTTTATTACACAAATTTATCAAAATACATGAATGTGTACTTAAAATCATCTGCTTGTGATATTCTGTTCCTACTACTTACGTCCACGTAACCCACATCAGAACTAATGGACATTATAGGTATATTTATTGATTGAACTGGCTTTTGTAATTAAATAAAATCTGCGACTACGTATTGATTGAACATGACAGTACTTACCAAGATAGAAATGAACTTATCTATTAAACTACAAATGGTGCCATTCAATATATCAAAGGAATACATTTCATTATCGGACGTTTTCATGGTAATGTACTATTATTAGGTAAAGAAAAAAAAAAAGAAAAGTTCTTTTTTAGATGCTTTACAAGTAGATAACGGTAGATTTCAACATCCATCAAATTTATAGATCTTAGTAGCAGTAGCTGATTATGGAATAACCAAATCTTCATAATGCCAATCGATATTACTCACAGGCAATATTCTTTATAAGGACCATGCTCTAGTAATACACTAAAAATTATTTGTTCTTTCTAGTTGGAGTTACATGGCCCATAGAAAAAGAACATTAATTGATATTCAAACTTCACACACAGAACACATCGCAGCCTGGATTCTGTAAACAAAATAAGATATATATCTACTTATGATCGACCAACAACAGAAAGAAAATGCTAGAATAAATATTTTATGATGCTTTTCAAGGCACGAGAAAAATGAGTCAGATATGACTACATGACAATAACACCAAAGTCTATAATATAATACTATTTGTCAAAAAGCAACTATTTAGCTACCTTACTGAAATGTAACAATTATCTGATATCAATATCAAGAGAAATTAAATAAAAAAAATCATCCACGGTAATTTTAAGAAAGGCTTCATGGCAATCTGGTCCTATTGAAAGATAGGAAGATCATTCCAGGATTGATGATTGTAACTTGTACCAACTTGCGCAGGAACAAGGCTACTTGACGCCTCTTCTCCAATCTCATTTGCCATTTTCAAGAAATAACTATGCCTGAAAATTTAAATCATTAGAACTCGATATCATATAAAACTGAAAATTCGAAAGCCAAAAACAATTTATATCTACCATCGAGTATCTGCTGTCAATTCAGGATGGAAAGCAGTCCCTAGTACGTTCCCTTGTCTCACGGCAACTATAACTTTACTTTCTTCCTCAGCATTCTCCTGTCATATCCAAAACTAATATGAAACACGGTAATTAATGGGGGGAAAAGACAGACATTGTAGTAAAATTGATTAATTTCCATTAGCAATTGGCAGGCAACGTTTGTATCAAAACTACTAATAGGCAAGTTAGAGCTGTTAGGTTATGGAAGTGAACATTATTTGCAGGACGAGAAGTATCAATATCGCCAAGTTAAGAACTAGAGATAGGGGAAATGTCCAATTAGACCATTTGCATTTCAACTGCTGAGTGGTTTTGAAACTATTACATTACAAGATTGCTTCCTAAAACACCCACAAAAAGCACAGAGGCCTCTTGAAGGAAATAAGTTAAAACAGTAGTATGGTCACCATCGAGTAATTGTGGCTTGCCTTACTAAAATAGACATGCAGTAAAGTTCAGGTGCATTTCCAAATCCATTCCCAAAAGATTATGAAATAAAACTACAATATATATAATACATATGGAAAATATAGTATGCTAATTCTTCATTAAGGGAACTAATCATCTGAGGAGCATTTCCATGAAAGCAGCAAAACCTTGGGAATACTTCCAGCCGCATGCTATTTATATACCATAGGCACACAGGCCAAATAGTCATCACTCCAACTAGCCAAGACAATTCTCTTTTCAAGGACTTCTTACTGCAGTTCAACCTCAAAATTTAAAAATATTGTCCCCTTATGCTAATTTGCTTGTTGTAAAAGCATGTGATTCCACTACCAGTTTATGACGGCAATTTTTTAATGGTAAAACATGGATTACATTAACTTACAATGCCAAGAGAGTGAGAGACTATATGGCCAATTGGCAATCCAAGTTAATAAACTTAATATACACAACTAAACCTAATAGTAACAGTTTATCATTAGTTCATTATATATATGAAAATGAACACAACAAATTTGGTTGGAAATTAAATATCCCATAAGGTAATATTATTAAAGCCAGTTTTGGCAAAAGTAGGAAATTTTTCCAAGAATACATATATTTCTATAAACAAAAGCGGAAATTTTCAGAGAGTAGAGGATCATTGAATAATAGAGCACCAAACTAATAAGAATAGAATATGCATATCCTTGCAATCATTTCTTTCTATAAACAAAACAATTTCCTTCTTTTTTATCTACTCCTTTCTTCTTTAAGTTTCTCCTTCAGAATCTTGGTTTTTCTCTCACGAGACCTTTTAGAATTCAACTATGCCACTGAACCAAAACAATGCAGCACAGAGCAAGAATGTGTACCCCCCCCCCCCCAACCACCACCACCAAGCTATGTTATATAAGTGAAGTTCCCCATGTCTAGTTGGATCTTTATCCTACCTCCAGTGAATAAAATTGCAAAATGAAAGTCTCAGATGTACAACTATGAATAATGTTCATTTGATTTTGTTCATTTTCACATGCTTTCATTATTAAATCCATAATACATTGACCTTTAAACTTATATTCGCTCTCAAAGAAATGACCACTTACAACCTAAAACTAGAATTGACAAATGGTCACACTTTAACTAAAACTTAAGTCAGTGAGATTTACAATTAAGCCAAAACCTGACCTGAGATAAGTTAGAAAATTACATACATAACACTTTTGATCTTATATTAATAAAAGGCAGGCCAAAAGCTTTCTATAGACAGATATGTCAATAACTAACCTTTTTGCCTTCAAAAGAGAAATCAGCACTCAACAAGCTGCTAGAAGGTACAAGATAATCAGCCAGCACCTGAACTTCTGGCCCTGCTTCGAGAATTGCAGGGGCACGAATAAAAATGCCCCGAAATGTGTCAAGACCACCTTCCTTGGAAGCAAGATCTGGCACGGAAAGCTCTGCCTCAAAGCTTTGAATCTAAATAAGCATATCTTTTGGTTAATGTGACCAGAATTATTAGAACACAACAAAACTTGGTTATTATCACATATGGCTGAGTCAGTGTATTGAGAGCCCCAATAGTTTTCCATTGGCACCATTAAGAAAAAAACCACGTTAAACGTTAGGTCATTTAAGAATGATAGTACCCCTTCATTACCATTAAAAAAAATGTTAAGCAGATTTTCTCACATCCAACATTACCACATGCAATAAACATAGGATTCTATGTATGTTTGTTTAATAATTAATATACTATACTAGTTAAGCTAAAATGCATAATGCATGCATTTACCTGGCTTCCAAAGAAATTTCTATGCACAGTACAGTCAAGTCCACCAACCAATTGTTGTCCACCAGTCTTCTGTCCTGAAATGATGTTTGTCATTTAAATCTTTTTATAACTAATATCTAATGTTGCAAGGCTAAGATGCCTGATGTTTCCTAACATTCAACACAATGGCAGAAAGAAGAGGAGAGAAACAAATCACCTATAGCTTTGTTTGCCAAGAATATAAGCCCAGCGCAGGTTCCCCAAACAGGCTTTCCCATTTGTACAAACTCTCGCAATGCAGGAAACTGAAAAATCAAAACAACCAACACATATTATCAACACCAGAAGCATCACTTCATTCCATGAGCATAAAATCATAACATTTGACTGAAAAGTTCCATAGGCTTCCCAAAGACAACACCGCACACGCATTCAAAAAGTGTGTTTTAAATTGCAATTGTGGTCATGGTTGCCATTGCAGCTAACTGCGATGCACATTGCGGCTGTTACAGTGTGAATGTACTTAATATTTTCACTTATTATTACCTGGTATTATACATGTTCAAAATCTCACACCTCTTCCTACTCCCTCGCAAATCTATCATTTCCTTCATCACAAACTTACTACTACCACACTAAAATTTCACTAATCCAAGATAATTCCTAGTAAATATTAAAAGAACAGAATGAATAGTATTTTGTTTGTGGACGCCAATGTCTACTGCAATCCAATACGGCCGTTGCAACAGTTGTGATATTACGGTTGCAGTTTTTTTTTTAATTTAATCATATCACTGCAATGGCAATATTGTGGCTGCAACAAAAGATGTGGTCCACAATTTGAAACACTGACAAAAACACTTAACTCTCTTGCTAACACCGACTATAACAAACAAAACAAAAGAAAGTTTAAAGACAATTCTCGACTCCTTGTTAAAGTGGCTAAAAATATCATCAAAATACTCTCTATATGAATTGGACAATCATCTTCCCCTAAACTAGCTTTTTTGTGTAAGTTAAGCCCGGTTCGTTAATAATAGCTTTTATTTCATTCTTTTCCAATAAGTTAAAAAGAAAACACCAAAAACTATAATCCATCCAATCAAATTATTGTAAACCTCTCTAATTACGACGCTACGATACAGACACACAAGGTATCAAATAGCACAACCAAAAACAATTTACCAATATTTATAAACAGAAAATATAGGGAGACATAAAAAGTAAAAATAATATAAATATATATTAAAGAGCAAGAGAGAGAGATAGAGAGAGAGAGACCAGATTGTGGTATTCAGCGAGCTTAGCCATGGTGGTGCTTTCTCCACCAGGGATGATGAGGGAACCAACGGTGTGAAGCTGTTCTGGCTTTCGAATCTCCACGCCTTTCACCCCTAACCTTCTCAGAGCTGCCACACACAACACAAAATAGTAGTCAGTGCTTATTGTGAGATTAAGCAAAAGAAGGAATGAAGAGCGAAAGCAAAATGAAAAAATGAATGTGCCGGCTATGTGTTCGTTGAAAGATCCTTGTAGCGCCAACACGCCAACGACGGCCATGTTTGGGGTGTGCAAGAACACAGAAAGTTGCGTTTTCACGTTTGTGAAGAAATATATATATATAACACAGAACGAGTTTGGTCCTCTCGTTTGAGCGTGCGCGGTTTGGGGTTAGGGTGATGTTCACTTCACTCTCATTTCAATTGATTCAGCTTAGCCCAAACTCTTTCATTGGAGCAAAGAAATTGTACAACAAGAAACGAAAATGCTAACTGGGGTCTGAAATTTTTTAAAAAATATATATTAAAAAATATAGAAATAAAATTTTTTATTTTTCTAAAAAAAATTATTATCTATTAATTTAAATTAGTGTCCAGACAAAAAAACATGCACGCATTTTAACGCAATTTATTACAATTTTTATTTATTTTTAAACATTTTATATTAATTTATAAAATAAATATTAAATAACATATGTATTAAAAATTATAAATTAAAAGAATTAGAAACTATTTAAATATAATAGAAAGAAAATATACGCATGGTTCCCATATTCATTTATTATTCTTCTCTGTGTTATTAAGAAACTAGGAGAGAGAATGAAACTTATTATTATTTTTTATTTCATCATTATTTTATATATTTTCTTATTTAAATATTAATATACTTATTAAAAATGTCACTTTTCATTTTTCTTCTTTTTCTTTTATTTGCTTTCTTTTATACGAAACAACTTATAAATTTATTTATTGAACTTATTAAATCTTTTCTTTTCATGTTTTTATTATTTTCTTTTTTAAATCAAACAAAGAGTTAGGTTTAGCATCGCGCAATTAAATTTAAACATGATGCATTTTTTATTTATTATTTAGTCAGTTTGGGTGTTTTGCTTGACTCAAAGGTATTTATCTTTTAAATAATTATAAAATATTTTTAAATTTATTTTTTAATATATTGTATTGATATTTTGAGGTTTGAGTAAATTTTAAAAACGTTAAACAAACAATATTTATAATTAAAAGACCTATAATTGATTTAAATAAGTATTTGATGCTTTTAAAAACAATATAAAAAGTTTAAAAGTGATTGATAATTTAAAATTAAAAATATAAAAAATATAATAAAATTAAATGTTTAAATTTTTAAATATAAAATAAATGTGTTTTTATATTAAAAAAAGAGTTTAAAAACTATAACATATAACTTCTACAAATGCACTATTTAATACGAAATGACTTGTAATAAAAAAATGGGTAACGAGTTAATGATTAATTATTTCTCTATAAATATTATTAGTGTGAGAACATCCTTCTATGTATTTAATGTTTATAACTAAAATTATGACGAATTCTTATTTTTTTAGTTTTATATTTATGATTTTTTAAAACTTATATATTTTATGGCTCGTGGGAAGACCCGTTGGTTCTGTGTACTCCACACCATGGGCTTCGCCCACCATTTGTCGTTCTTTATGAAAATTATTTTAAATTAGAAAAAAAAAATGAAAGAGAAACAGAATGGAACCATATTTGTTTGATTCCAATTACGGGATTTGATTTTGTTTACCTTTATGACATAATTAAAAATAAGTATTTATTACATTATCTGTAAACTTAAGAACGCATTGTAGTTTTTAAAAAAAATCTATGGATGTAATTTTTTTAATATTTTAAATAATAAAAAAATATTTATATTATTTTAAAATAAACTACTGTTTTACTGTTTATTAATATAAAATTAATAATTATTATTATTTCATATATAAAAATAATAAAATATAAAGAGTTTACGGCCATTCCTCTCTTCAACCCCCACCATCACCTTTGCTAATGTTCTAACCCTCTTTTTCTTTTACTTTGCTATTCAATCCAATGTTCCCACGTATGATCCACCAATGGTTATGATCCAAAATAACGAAGAGATTCTAGTTCAACATCAAATTGCATTTCTTTTTAAAGCGTTTTAGCTTTTTCTTTTAACAATTTATTATTTCAATTGATGGGGACAACAACACACTAAACACAACCAAAATAAATTCTTCCAACTTGCAAGAAGTATCAAGAGATAATAATAAATATATGACAGTAATTATAATAATATAAATTAAAAATAGATATCAAAACGTTTAATGTAAAAAGTCTTTTCACTGTTAAAAGCTAAAATGAAGGGTACCAAACAAACAACTCTATTATAATTAAATAAGAGTATAAATGAAACTTAATTAAATGCAGAAAATAGTATAACAACTATCCAAATAACAAAGAAACAAAATTTACAAGTGAGAAAAAAATAACAATGAACAACTTCAAAAAGTAGAACTATTATACAAATGATCTTCAGGCCATCATCTATCACAAACCCGATTCTTCATATTTGAAGAACCAATTAATAATCTGATTGATTGTTCATATTGAAGAATTGCACATCCTAAACCTTCTATAAAATTTCTGGCTTGAGCTAACAATGAAAAAATTTCCTATCGTTATATTCTAATAATATGACTTGATTTTTCTTTTTTCTTTTTTTTTTTTCTCTTGGGGACTGCACTTTCTCTCAAGAATGAGTTCTCCCATAATACTGTAACTAACCCGTTTCCACAAATAAATGAGATACGAAATAGGCTTGTACATATGGGATTTTTCTTTATTGGAATGGAAACCAGTATCTAACGTGAGTTAATAAAAATTTACATTGTATGTAATATTATATATGTGTAATATGACTTTTTATTTCTTTATTTATTTATTATCTTTTTACATACACGTATCTCATCAACACTTAAAAAATAATAACATTAACAACACGCAATTTCTCTACAGGATAAAAAGCCCTTTCTTCACAACTAAAATTTTTCTATAGTAAAGGTTAATTACGATAAAAAAAAATATCAGAAACATTAAAGATTTACCTTCTTATAGAGTCTTTAATGACAAAGTCAATACTTATTCTATCATCTTTGGATATAACATTTATCTACATTCAATTAAAGTTGACAAAACGGGAATGTCGAATTGAATCAATTCAAACTTGTTCAATAAAATATAGTGCTTGAGCTTTAAATTTTGAATTGAAATTAAATTCAAACTTTTTTAGCTTAATCTAATCAAGTTTGATGCGAGATAAGCCTATAAAATAAAATAAAAATCAAGTTTCACCCATTTTGAAATTTATTTTTCCATGCTAAATTAGATTGGGTCCTTTTGGTCTAGCATGCTAAAAGTCATTGTTTGCAATGAGTTGGACCAGCAAATCATTGCAAGATCTTTCTTTAAACCTATGTTAGACTAGTAGATATTAACTTCAATTCTTGTAATATAAATCTACCTTAAAACATGATAGATAAAATAGATGGGATTTAAGACCATGTTATTTCTCCATCTTTAAGCACACCAAAGAATTATTATCATAAGGCTAGAATCCTCATGCAATAACAATTTTAGGAGTCATAATTGCATATTACATTGATGCGGAAAAGTAATGTCCATGGAACAAATTCAAGGTCTTGGTTCCTTTGAGTGGGGACAATTATGAAGCACGTGTAGAATGCTTTTTACTTGGGCAAAGCATCTACTGTAGTCTATTAATAATGGATGAAATTAGATTGCATTTATGCATGTTACTACTAATAATTACTGAAAATCTAGTTACAAATAAAAGATTTTGAAAAAATATTATGAATTATTTGAGGGATGCTTATCCCTTAATTAGAGTAGTGCATTTAGTGGGTTTTATAACTTTAGTTTAAAAATTCTTTTTTTTTTTTTTTTAATCTTTAGTTTCATGCCACTATAGGAGATAATTGATGATAGATGAAACAAACAATTGCATATATTTTTGCATGCTTCATGATACTACTTTAACCCAATTTTATATTATGTTTCAAATTTTAAAGTTGATTTTGAAGTTAAACATGAATTATATAAGTGTTTAGAAAGAATAGTAGATGACATGAATAAAGTGGATAGAATTGATAGTCAACTAGAGTATTTTAAAGTTAAAAAGAGTTTTTTTTTTTTGTATAAAAGTAGAAAATTAGAAATTATTGGACTGAAAGTCAAAACTCTAGCATAATAGTAAAAATCTTATGGTGAACAACAAGAATTATAAGAATTTGTTATTCATGTATTAAATTTGACATGTAAATCTATTGTTGTAAGTATAATTAAAGTACTTTTAAAATAGTAAGTTAATTTTTAAAATTACCAAATGGACTACTTTATTTATTTTGTTAAATTATTAATTAATTTTGTTGCTATTTAAATTCATACCAAGCAAAGAAATCGTTTAAAGTAAAGACGATAAATAATGTTATGTTTGTAATGGCTAACTTATAATTGGACAATGATATCAAGAGGAGGAAAGAGCCTAATTTTGCCATTGAAGATGTTGCTTTTGATTATTGAAGTTGGAGAAGCAAGTAGTGGTGCTAGTGGTATAAGTATACCTATGGATAATTTAAACTCTCTCTTTGTTGCAGATGATGATAAGGTCAATATGAATGTAATTAATAAAAATGATTATTTTAAAAATAACTATCTTAATTGGGACTTACAAAATATATTATAGTAGATTAATAAACTTGCAAAACATACTAGTTTGACTCATTATATGTTATATTGGATCTTAAGTATGTAACTTTTAAATTTATGTTTAATTAAATTATGTGATTTTAATTTCTTTATTTATATATTTTCTATATTTATACATGTTTAAGTATAATTTTATATGTTTAGTATCTTACAATTTATAATTTTTACCCTCTTCAGATTTTAGATTGGATCCTAATCTTAACAAAATTGGTATAAAGTAATCTAAATCACAGTTTCATCAGAATGTGTTTTTTTTTTTTTAATGAAAAGTACAAGATTTTATTTTTCAACTTTAAAACTAACAAACCCTTACCAGCGGAGAATCTCACTTTTGGATTCCCCTTCCTCCATCACAGTCAAATGTTGCGCCTCAAACCCAATTTTAATTTCTCTTCTGATATGAGTAGTATCATGCTATCACTGTTGAATGTTCAATGCTAAAGCTCGTACATGCATCGGAAATTATCGATTAAGGATTTTTCATGATTGTCAATTTGTGCATTTTAATATGGGAAAGTTAAAATTATTTATGATGGAATGTTCTAAAAATATCCTTCCCAAGTTTAAAATTGACATTTTCCTCCTGAAAGCCCTCCTTTTCAATCTCAAATAAATAATTAAAAAAATTCAAATCCATCTTTATAAATAAAACTATGAAAGTTTTTTTGTAAAATGACTCTATTTCTTCATATAACTTTCCAGAAGAATGGCACGTCATTCTAAAAATTTTTACTTTTCATTTTTAATTAAAATCATAACTTTTTCATTTATTTTTTTTTTTTGTCTTTTAATATATGTTTTTAAAATTCTACATGAATTAATTACAGACACTTTATATAATTTTTTAAAAAAATATCTTAAATTATTTTCTTTTTATTTCATATTTTAAATCTTATTTCAATTTTTTTTTCTGGCTAGCAGTTATCAATCTAGATATCATTTTATGGCGAGAGTATCAGCTTAATCTGCAATAGTGATAATTTAGTTGGAAAAATGGGCTCAACTTGACTTGGAAAGTAATTTTGTATTAATATGTCAAAACTTTTAAGAATTCAAGAACTAATATGAAGTGAGTGAAATTTTCTTTTATCAAAACTAATATTTTACGGAATTGATGTTAGGTTTCAAGAATGTAAAATAAATGGGAAATTAGTCTTTTAATTTTTTTTTTCAAAATTCAAAGCTGTGTTTTTTATCCAAAGAAAATGATGGTTACGAAGCTTAATTCAAAAAGATATCATGTAGACAAAAATCACAGTTTGACAAAGATTGTCTTCCATATTTAACAGGAAACAGTAATGTCTTGACACAAAATAGAAGGAAAGAAAAAGATCTGCATTGAACTTGTAAAATAGAAGAGCTAGAAGCCTTTCTTCTGTTCTTCTGTTACTGTGTCTTATCTCCCAAAACCTCTCACGCTTCACTTAGTCCAAAACTCCAGCAAGCACATAGGCTTGTGATATTTTGTAGGCATGAGTACGGGAAGGTAGGTAATGAAGAATGGTACCACAATACACAGTGTGAGTAGGTGAGGCAGTGGTGTAGGGTAAACAACCAATGCTCCCACATTGCTTGAAATGGTAGTGTGATTGGGTGTAGGCTGTAGAGTCATGATGAGCACGGCATTTGTAAGTGACTATAGTCTATAGTGCATGAACCAAAAAGTGTTTAAATGGAGGGAAGTCCATCTAAATTATTAGTATTCGACCAATCAACATACTGACAAAAAGTTATGGACAAAAACGGATAATAGTAAACATTTTATTTATACAGTAATCTTGATTGTACAATTATCTGGAGTATGGGCACATTGCTATATGACAATGACATCACTTAATAATAGTGTGCATTGGACTTTAGACAGCAGAAAGACATCCACATAACATGTCTAAGACAATATTTCAGGGTGGTACAAACATATGACCGCCAGCAGTGATGAACTAACTCAGACGATCGAGCAAGACTTCTGGAGAAGAAAACTCTTTAATTTAATCTAAATGGAGTGAAAATATTATTTCACTTTGAAGGCAACCTATATTTACAGTTTGAATCATTCCAGCACAAATTGACTACCAAAAACAAAATGGACTTTGAAGTAAAACTTAACTATTGCTAAATGGAAACAGAAATGCTGAGGATAAGACATGAACATGGCAGTATGGCACATAAGAGGAACTTTTCAATGTACATAAGTATCCTATTAAAGCTCTCCTGGTTGATTGAAGCCAAGTATATATCTCACAGCTGCTTATGTATATCCAAAGGTCACCAGAGTCTACTAAATAGAAATCAGAAGCGCTGAGGATAAGACATGAATATAGGATCAGGTACAATCAAAGGCAACTTGTCAATGTACATAAATAGTCTTCTTAAATTCTCCTTGTTGATTGAAGCCAAGTCATCTATCTCACTGCTGTTCATGTAGATCCATAGGTCACCAGAGTTTACTCTTTTAAGACTGTCCCGACAGAAAGGGCAAGACTGAGACCGGGCATGCCTAAACCACATCAAAAACTTATCCTTAGGAAGTGAATACAATGCCAGCAGAATAGAGGTGCCATAGAGTTAATTAACATTTGAAAAACATCTTAGAAATAGCTCAGAAGCCTAAAAAAACTCATTTGGACGAATCTATTCATCTACCAAAAGAATATGACAAACTATCTATTAAATTACAATTCTGATGCTTAATAGATAGTTTGTCATAGATATTTGGGGTGAAAATACGGGATCAACACCAAAATGTAACATACCAATCACAATTTGCTCACCAGTCTTTATAGCATTTCACACACAATGAGTGGTTGCAGTTGGGCAACACAACCTTATTGTTCATCTCCATGCAAATACCACATTCCTCTTCTCTCTCTATATCAATTTCAGATAGTTTTCCTTTTCTTACTATATCTTTTGGCCTGTACTTTGTAGCCCATAAATCTTTTTGTTTCCTTTCTTCTACATCAGTGATTCCTCTGTGGAGTTGTAGTAAAGAGGGAAAGATCACACCTGTTGTTAAAGAGTGTAAAAGCAATCATATCAGGATTTGATCCACTTTTATAGAGAAAAACAAAAACAATCTAAGTGTTTCACATGAAAACATGACAGAGTTTCAAAATTGACTTTCCTTTTATAGTTAAATAGGATTTTTATTACCTAGTGTGGGGAGGGGGATAGTGGCTAAAACACAGGCAGAGAAGACTGCCTTAGATTCAAAAACAGTCGTTAAGGGGACTTACTAAGTACCACTTAAGCTAAAGATCTTGGACCAAAATTAACCATTTTATAGCAATGGCACTTCACTTACCATAGAACTCCTTCAGACTGGCTTTTCTTTCATAAATGGACATGGTTGTCTTCCCATCCCCATACACCTGCGACAATCCCAACACTTGATTACAAGCTTGGCAATAAAATGGAAGCATAGGTCAACACTATCATATGTGTTGTGATTTACATGTTTTATAGTGGTCCATTCATAGATAAAGGAGGCAACAAGTGTATGAAGAGTAAAGGGGCAGTGAATTTACCTTGTATATGAGAATTCTAAGCAATCCCAAGGCCCCAGCAAGATGACAATCAGTCCACTGAACCAGAAAAAGGAAAAATTGAGCAGCTGGGCTATAAGATAATCTCATTTGTAAGCACGCGCCATCACATTCTCTTGGATAATTAGTAGCTCTGTAGTGAAACATGTTTTGCACAATGAATAGACTAAAAAATATACAATAAAATGTTCATATTTTGGTTGGGGAATTTCAATATTGAAGTCAAAACATTGAATAAGTGAACATCAACATCTAACAGGTCACGGCCCAAGAACTCAGATTTATTAAGGCCATATATTGATTCTCCATAACCTTCAAAAGAATGCAGCTCGATTTCCCGTTACTTATCTCATGTTCATGTGCCACACAAATACAAGTTTTATTCATCTGTGTTCAAACAAAAATTGACAGCTACAGCAGTAAAATAAAACCATAATTGAAAATTAGGATTGACACTGGCAACGAGAGCCTATACATAAGCATGTGTGAGTTTATTTGTAAAGAAAAAGTGAAAGGTGATGTACCCTTAAATTTTCCACAAAAGCACCAACCATTAACAGAAGGCAATATATAAATAAAAAAATAAGATACACTTTAGTTATCTTAATGGGGTCTTCTACCCTTCAATTTTGCCCAAAAAGCACCTAAAATTAAGACCATAAAAAAAGACAAAATAAAATGATCCACATCAGTCATCTTAATGGGGTCTTCTTTACAGAAAAAGCAAGTCAAAATGCTATGAACTGGGGCACACAATGGGAAACGCCAAAAAAATTGCAGTGCGGCCAGTGCTGAATCTCCAAAATGACAAAAGCTAAAAACTAAAAAAGAAAAGAAAACAGTGGTTGAAATATAGACATCATGAAAAAATTAACCAAAGGATCCTGCTTCTAAAGGCATCACAAAAATTTATTCAACCAAACTCATTAAATTAAGTACCACTTTGCTATGTACTCTTCGTGAACTTTCAACAACCGCTTAGCATTCGGTGAGAATTTACATATAACGAAAAAAACCAAAAAATACCGAAATGACAAGGAAGCCTACAATTAGGAGAAACAGAACAAAACAGAGTTCTGAACTAAATAACACACTACTAGGTTTCGAGCATCATAACACCCCAATTGTCCCCAGAACTGAAAAAAAAATCCCACACCCAACCCCAAATTTTTTTTTAAAAAAAAAAATTACCAACTGGCTCAAAAAAAGCCAGAATTTTTGAAAGGGTATAATAACCAAAATCACATAATTAAACATTAAAGTATTAAATATGATTATAAAAATAAAATAATAGAAATTGTAAAGAAAGAAGGGTGGTGGAGTGAATTACATAGTATTGGCAAACTGTATATCAGCTTCAAGAGCTTTGAGGGAATCCTTGAAGGACTTGCGCATCTCTTCTATACTGTAACTATTTCTTCTTCTTCTTCTTCCGCGAACAATTAACTCATTCAATAAATTGCACGATGAAACTTGAACCGGTTCCTTGTTTCCTTGCGAAAATCAAGCTCCTAGAAGTAATAAAAGGAAGAGAAGTTGAGAGAGAGAGAGAGAGAGAGAGAATTGGAGTGAGAAAGAAAAAGGTTTGTGGGGGGTTTTGTGGGTTTTGGCTTGAAGCACACGTAATCCTTTTATGCATATCTCATCTCCTCGTTTATTTTTATTATTATTTATAATTTATATTTATTACACCGAATAAAAATATAGTACTAAAATATTAAATTAAAAGTGTATTATAACAATAATCAAATAAAATTAATGTAAAGTTAATTATAACTGAATATTGTTTATTTAATGATTAATAAATACTACTTATTTAAGTGATTAACAGTAACTAATAACTTTTTATACACTGAACAAATATTATTAAATTTAAATAGTATTATTAAATAACTAAATAAATATATTATATAATTATTTAAAATTTTATAAATTTAAAAATATTAAATGTTAAAATTATTAATAATAAATTTGATATTCTATTAAATAAAAACATAATTATAAATTTATAATAAAAAAAATATATGAAAATAAAAAAGAAAATTTACTTTTAAAAATATATTTTTGATAATTTTTTTAAAATTATTCTCAGTTAATTATTTAAATATTTTTGCTCACAAATCATAGATACAAGTTGATTAAATAAGTTCATAAATTATAATAATATTTTTTTAAAAACTTATATCAAATATTTTATTTGATAGATACAAATTTAAATTTAATATTGGGAGGTTAGGAATAAATTATCCTCCCCTGTTATATTATTTATTAAAATAATATAATTAAGTATCTATTAATTTTATTTTTTATAAAATTGATTTATTTGATACGAACCTTCAAACGAATCATTAGAATAATTAATTTTTATTCTATAAGAAATTATTAAGTGATATAAATAAATATAAATATTAAAGTTTAACATTCCAACAAATTTTAATCTTGAAAAGGAAATAAATTTAAGTGATGTAAATTATATTTACACTTACATTATTTATTAACTTTTTATTCAATAAATTTAATCTTAAAATCAACTATTAGGTTAAAAATTTTAATAATATTAATTATGTTTACAAAATTTTATATTAATCTAAAATTATTTAGTACTTTATTTTATACATCAAAATCAAAATTAATGTAATACATATTTTTAAAATAGATAAAAATAAATATACTTGTAGTTCTTTAATTTTAACAATCCAAATAATTTAATATATATATATATAGCTACTTCGCCCATTAAATTTTTACAGTGACTTGGATAAAAAATTATAGATACATATTTGGGAATTTTTTAAGACCAACCGTATATCCTTTTATTTGTAAATCTTTATTTTTTAATCTTTTTAGGACCAATTGTGTATAGATCTTAACGTTAATATCATTATGATTATGAAAATAAAATACAAATAAGCATATTAATACAAGTAAAAGAAAGATTTGTCCCACAAATAGCAAAACCTCATTTTTGAACTCCCATGAATAAAAAAAGCTATAAAATGGATTAAAATATGTTATTATTAAAAAACAGTGGATAAGTTCACATAACATTTGTTTATATTTGGATACATCATGGTTTAAATTGCCACAATTTTACTATGAAATGTCTAATTAAACTATATCCCTTTTTTGTTCCTTGATTCATACTTGGGTGAAAATGTTGTGGATCGTTCGGGGTTTTCTGTTGTCATTTCTCCGTGTATGCACACACAACGAGGGGTATCACGACAAACACATATACCATTGCGACATACATGGTTTTTACAAAAGCAAGCATGGTGCTCATCGCATTGAGCATTAGTCAATGCTGTTGTCTCAAGTTCACGAGATTGGATTTGTGATACTGAAATAGAGAAAGGGAGAGAGATAATAAAGAGATATAATTTGCAAAGAGTAGAAATAAACTTAGATATGATAGATGCAAGAATTGGTAAATAAAGGAAAGAGAAGACACTTACACAGTGACATAGCCAAAAAAGCAATCATAAAAACACACTTCACGGAAATCTTGTCCATTTTTTGAGTTATGTTAAACATGGATATGATAGATGCAAGACTTGGTAAATAGGTTTATCATGGAAATCCAAATTATATGATCCTATTTATAGCTAATACAAGACACCCCGCTCTCTTGTATAACCAAAAGTCAACACGGATCATATATTAATTCAATTGATTAAAAATAATAGTGTCGGTGGAAATAAATATATTATAACATTAATGTAGCATTAAATAATATATTAATCACACTATAATAAAAATGCATGATTATATTTACATATAAATTGAAATAAAATAGTTTTTAGTCTTAACTTTTATTTTTTATTTAAATAATATGTTATCAGATATTGTATTTTGAAATATATCTTTAGACTTTTTTATATATTTATTATGTATATGCTAAAAAGAAAGAGATATACACATAAATTCTTATTTTAAAATAATTTTATAAATAAAAATAAATAATATTTTTATAAATAAAAATTGTGAAAGTACAATTAATATATTATTTAATATTATAGAGTAGTCAATATATATATATTACAATAACTAATAGTAGTTAATACAAATTAAAAAATAAAATAAGAAATTAAAATTATTATTTTATTTATCATTTTACACGTAAGATATAATTACATACTTTAATTAATAGTGTAATTAATATATTATTAAATGCTATATTAATATTGCAATGTAATTAATTTTACAATCACACTAGAAAATAAGTTCGTGCGTTGCACAGTTTATTTTTTATATTAAATTAATTTATCTTAAAAGATAAAATATATAATTTAAATATAAAAAATATATAAATATAATAAAAAATTATTTTTTAAAATAAATTATTATTTAAAATATATATAATTTATTATTTTTTAGCATAAAATAAAATAGCATAAAAATATCTTATTTTTAAAATATAAAAATAAAATTTATATTACTTCATAATATCATAAATTATTTATTATTATAAAATTTTAAATAAATAATTATAAAAATAAATTATTAAATATAATAAATTTGTTAATACACGTTATAAAATTTAAATAAAAGACCTTATAATTTTTTATTTATATATTTATTTATATTTATTAAATTAAATTTATATGATAAATTATCTATTCATAATTATAATTTAAAATTATTAATAAAATTTTACTATATAATTATTAAAATATGATATCATATTTTTTTAAAATAATTTATCAAACTAATATATAAAAAATAAATTATTTATTCAACTAATATATAAAATTTTAAAAATCTACTTTGAATATAATATATACAAAATTATATGTTAATATTTAAAAAATATATATTAAACTTTTTATATATAAATAAAATTACCATACAAAAATATTATAAATAAAAATTAATAATAATATAATATATACACTGAATTTAGATGTTTACTTTTTGATAAAAAAATATTATTGAATTTTTTTTAAATGATTAAATTATTTTATACTTTTTGATAACTTAATTGAATTAATATTGATTGACATTATATATAAATTATTTTTATTTAATAATTAATTACATATGATAAAATTATGTTATTTGGATCATAAAATTAAAATAATAAATTTATTAATTTTTCTTATATAATTATTTTTTAATTTTTAAAAAAATTAATACAGTTTGTTTATTATTTATCATTTTAATTAAGAATTAATAAAAATAAATATATCTACAAAATAATTTAATAATGAAATAATATTTTAAAAAATTTATTAAAAGAATAAATATTAATTTAAATAAAATTTAAAAATTAAATTTAAAATGATATATAAAAGGAAACATATAAATTGAACTAAAAATAAGTAAAGAAAAAATATATTATTATTAATTCTTTAATTATTTTAAAGATATATAAATATAAATTTAATATAAATACATTAAAATTATATATGTGTTCTAATCATTTTGATGTAAATATAGTAAATTAGAAATTTAATTTTTATTTTTAGATATATTTTTTTGTCTATCTCTCTCATATATTATCTAATTCTAGAAAAAAGAGGTTAATATTTAATGAACTTGATTTAATTTTTTTAATTAAAAAATATAAAATCTTAAAAATATAACATAATAAATAATTATACTAATAAAAAAATATTTATATTAATTTAATATTTTTATGTATAATATATGTATTTTAATTTATATTTTAAAAACTAATTGTAAATTCACAAAATGACTAAATTTTTTTATTAAGAAGTACTATTCTTTGCATTTATAATTGATGTTATCATAAAAAATTTTAAAAGCATTAGAATTTATATTTCAATCTGAAAATTTTAAATAAATAGTTAGACTATAAAATTCTAATAAATAAATATAATTTGATATGTTAATATAAAAAATATTTTTATAATATTTTAAGCACTAGCTTCTATTTTTTTTTTATTTAAAGTCTTTTAATAGTTATAAAAATTTAGACTTCGTACTCATAAAATTTTAAAATAAATGATATATATAGAAATTAAATATAAATTTAAACTTAATTTAGAGTTAAAATATTATTTTTTTTACTTATTCATTTATTATGATATAAAATTATTAAATATAAAAATAGAACAGTTAAATCATATTCATTTTCATTGTTATGATATTTAATAATTTTTAATTTATTTCAATTATTATAATTAATTAATTTTAATTGAAGAATTTTAAATTTATCATCATCATTATAGCATTTTATAAAAAAAATATTGCAACAAAATTATTAAGTATGAATATTGTTAATTTTTTAATTTAAAAAAATTATATTTGTCATCATAATTATTATAATATAAAATATAAATAAAATATTGTCTATGTTAATAGGTTATACATAATTTTGATATATATAAATTTCTATTAAATTATTTTCTAAAAAAATTAAAATAATAGAAGAAGAGAAAAAAAGAGTAATTAAAAATTTTCAATTAAGTTTTAGGTAGAAACTAAAAGAGAAGAATTGTTGTATTTAATACAAAAATTAATCTTTATATTAATTAAATTTATAAATGTTGATATAATATAAAATTTATGAATCACATATAAGATTTGTCTAAGAACAAAGTCAATATATATATAATAATAAAATAAGAGAGATAT